GCTTGTAGAATCATAACAATGTGACCACACAAGTTAACTTATAAAGTACCTACAAAACAGACAAAGTTCAACTTCATGAACTACTGCTAGTATCCCGCAGATTCCCCTGCATTTCCTCTGGAAGTTGGGTATTTAAAATGGATATAAATTAATAGTTGGGATCAGGTCTATTTCATGCTGCAGACTCTGCATTCGGAGAGGCCACCAGGCCAGACAATCGAGGCATTTAGAAAAATAAGCTTCCCCAGCAAGCTGCCGTGTCCAATTCCGGATGCCGGGGGCTTCAGTCTGGCATGAAGCGAGGTGAAACACTGAACGCAATCATGTGCCCATGCCTACCTCCTGTAAGAGCCAGTGTTACGGGAAAGGCATCCAAAGCCAGACCGGGGAGCCGTATATTACAGTGAAAATGTGATATTGTCAGAGCTTTGCATCAGGAAATGAATGCTGCTTTGCCTTTAACCCAGCTATGTTGTTTATTTTTCTTCTTTTCCTTCTAGTACAGAAATTGGTCTGTTTTTACACAGCTCCAATCTTGGTCTAGCTAGCAAGTCTGGAAGTGTTATGCCTCAGCTTGAGTTAATCTCCCCTCCCCCCCCCAACCACCACATCCGCAGAGCGATCAATTCCGTGGGATCACCTGTAGCTCCATTTCCCAAAGCATGACAGGTTTTGACCACTTATAAATCAGCGAATAGCACAGGGGCTACGGCTTAAGAGACGACACGAGCGCGGGCATCGCTGAAAACCGCTACCTACGATCATGAAGCTTCACAAAATGCCACAATGAATGAAAACTACACAAGGGTTCAAAGTAAAGACTTTTATCAAATTTCATCTGCCACACTTAAGCACACAGGTCACCGGCAGCTAGAAGCGACATGTGTCTCGATCCGTTACTGCTTTTGTGATGATGTGACTTCATTCGGCACATTTATCCTGTTGTTGACTCATGTTCTTCCAATTAAATTTTACAACTGCCGTCTTTTTTTCAGATTAACAGTCTGATTTTGTTTACATGCTCTCTCTACAAATCTTGTTTTTCAGTTGCATCCAAACAAATACGGTTGAATCATAATACTTGTGATTATTTACCCACTGTATTGTGGAGGGAAAAAGTACAGTATACACACACACACACACACACACACACACACACACACAAAACACACTTTTTTCTTCAACAGAGCTGTATTTACTGTATATTACTGCATAACCATTCCTGATCAACAGAATACAAACAGCTCCATCTATTGGTCATAATTATATATACTGCATACATAAATCAGAAATGGAATCAGTCACAGGCCTAGAAACATTCAACAAATTTCTCTGGTATCAATAAAAGCTCTCAGAGAATTACAATAAAAATCACCTGATTAATGAAGATCAGGAAACAACATCATGTACAAATATCTGATAAAGTTACTATGGAAACAGACTGCATTTTTAAAAGTTCTGAAACCAATAACCAATCTGATTATAGGACTACTCAGTAATGGTAATTAGGCATTATTCGTAATAATAACACCTTTTTACAGGAAACCAGTCTTCCCAAATTAATTTAGATTAAAATATATATCTTACGAAAAGAGGATTATTGGGTTTGAGAATATCTTGATTGTTTATCACTAGTTTCTACCAGAAAACCTTAGTGGTTGTGTTCTGAAGGGGGGGGGGACTGGGTCTCCTGAGGTGCATCACACTTCCACACTGCCTGTTAATTATGCCGAATCAGTAGAGGGTGACAACTTCCAGTTGTTTCCCAGAGCGGACATGGGGCAGGATGAGAAGGGCGGCCGTGAGCATATCATTAGCATAGCGTCTGCCATGCTGCAGCGGCAGGGACGGTTTCCACGGTAATCACATCTGACACTGCCCCCCGCCGCGCCCCACCACCAGCAGCGCAGGACACCCACAGAGGCTGCGGCCTGGTGGGAAGTCATTTGATGGCTGGTTTGGTCTCATTACTCCTCATCTTTGGAAGAGGACCCACAAATCAGCAGCGCTTTGCAGATCTAGCTTTCATACCATTTATTATGTGAACGGTACGGCTCGTTAAACATGACTCATGTAAAACCGGCCTTAGTAGCGATGTTGCACCTATTATGTAATGACTATGCAATTACTACACAAAATTATTTGCAAAACCAAAACAGAGCTGGTTTTTCTCTCTTTGCTGTTCGTTTTTGATGGCTTGCAGGAGAGTCATGCGTTAGGTGACAATCTCAGCTTAGTTCTTACAGAGCTGACCCTGCCTGGTATCGTCACTGCTGTCAAATATTAAATGGACTGGTGCCCAGTCACGGGCTGCTTCAAGGCTTAGAGCACATTTCTACACTCACCACCTTCAAAAGCACGCGGATATCAGGGCTTTATCTTTACCAGTAGGCAGCAATACTGTTAATAAAAATGGCCGAAGCAGCGATTTTATGGTTATGTCCCTGCGCCCCCACCTAATGAGGGCATTTCAGATGTTCCCATTGTTAGAATCCTCTCACATTGTTTCACTGTTGGTTTTAATTTCACACCCTTATCTCTCATAATGTCAATTTTACAGTGTCTCTGTATTTAAAAAGTATGTCTAATACTTCAAAGGTTTTATGCTAATGACAAAATTTTGAGACCATACAGTATAATTCTTTAAGGAAAGGTTTTAACAAAAAAGGTTTTCGGTACTTGGGTATCATTACTTCTTCATAATACGTTACATGAAACCCTACTGATTAAGCATTATTCCCGTCCCATAACAAAGTCCTCTAGACGGTTACTTAGGAGGTTTAAGAGAACTTAAAACCATAAAAATCTTTGACATGGACACTTAATTTTAAGCGCAGTGTGAAAAACTAAGTAATGTGATTTTTATTATTATTTTTTTAATGAATCCACTCCATGGCCGATTATAATACCGAATTTCAACCTGATATTGAGCTGCTTAATGCCGATTCCATTAGAGGACTCCAGTTTAACAGTCATCACTTTGATGCACTAAAAGTCTGAAGGTTGATATAGCCACGATGCTATCACTGGATATCACTTGTCATACATCACATTTCAGAGGCATCTTCAGGGACAGGTGCTGTTCTGACATCCAGAACGTTCTTGTTACCTTCGCATGTGGCAATAAGAGCCAACAATACACATGCTACAATTCAACGATAAACCAAAAACAGTGCGGTTATGTGCTGGGAACATGCATTCAAAATAGTATTCAAATCTTCAGCAATACACACCTTAACATTCAGACACTCACTCTTTATAGCTCTGAAGTGCCACCAAGATGATAGTGTGACCCATGAAGGGAGAAATCGTGAAAGACATACTGCCATGAGCAGAACACAAAGCTTGAAGTAGAAGAAAATCACACCCTACCGACTCCAATTTGGGTTTGGTGCCAAAAAACAACTTAAAGTAAAACAAAGATGATATTTCAGACCCAGCTGCTGACCTGGAGCTTCTGCCTTTGTTACGTGTCGAGCGACTCAGAGAAACTGTGATTTACATCTCGCTGCACCGAACCTGTCAGAGAATTTGGGTCATGGAGATGTGATGCATAACACAGCTTTTAGGGCCCACAAAGAGATACGGGAGCATCCATAAGGTTAGGAAGAAAACAAAAGCCTTCCTTACAGTGGGAACACCAGTTTTTCCAAGTGGATTTTCCAAGAAAATAAAGGGATGTACCTACAAAATAAAGGAAATGCTTGAATAATGAATCAGGGCACAAAGTATTTTGAAAGCAGCCGCTACCACACAAGTTTGCTTTTTCAGTGAATTAAGAAATTACGGCTCATTATGTTCAGCGTCACTCAGCAAAATGTTCAGCAGGTGCAGTTACTGTGCCTGTTATTCAGGTGTCCGAGGGCAGAGGACGAGGACGAGGAAGACATAAGGAGCAGCGGCGGCTGGAGACGGTCAAGGGCCTAATCCTCGACTGTCCTCGACTGTAACAGCCAAGAATTAGCTGCAAGATGCAAGGCAGCACAGACGAGACACGGCCAGGCAGCGTCAACATGTACGGCGTCTGGAACTTCAGAGGTACTTCCATGGTCAGGGTGTGGTGCACAAACCCCTTATTATACATGAAAGTCTACTTTTACAAACAGCACAAGTGGTCATCCTCTCTCTAGTCCCAACAAGCATAAAAATACATGCAGGACCCAGGCCAAAAGAAGCAGAGAGTTCCCCCAGGGAAGAGTTCTGCTGTTTCCTGGTATGGCAACACTGTATAAGAAATATGCAATTACCACTGACCCGTAAAGGACTGGATACGAGTTAGTTAAGGCTGCCTCTACAATCCAAAGCTACCCGCACAGGTTGTCATTTAGATATCACACTGTCTGAGAGGCATGTGTGGGGATTTCTTTTTTTAAATCATGAATATGGGTTCTGCTTTTTCAATAAAGCATTTTTTTTATTTGTCACAGCATCCACTATATGTTATTAGCATTATTTTTGCATTTGTATAGATTTATTAAAAATACCAGGTAAATTAATAAATCTCAGTGTATGCCTGATTGTCACAGCAGGAAATAAACGGTGACAACTTATACTTCTAATACATGTGAATTAACTTCACTACAGTTCTCTTATGTGTCCACTAGGGGGCAGCCTTGATTCCAACGCCAACATGAAAAAGGCATGAATGCCATTCCACAGTGTGTGGAGTAAGCTCCCCCTGTCAGGCAGAGGAGTAAGCCAATCTAAAAAGCATTTTTGTCACAGGAGTTTTTAGTTTTACAGTGACAGCAGTCAGTTTGGAGACAGCGTGAAGCCACCAAAGTGGCGGATTTTGGCCGTGCCGATCCTTCACACGATACTCGTCACTTTGGCTTCTTCGGAAAGAGGATGAAACTAAACCTTGAAATGAAGCCAAGATAAACTGTCGCCACCTAACTACTGGAGAACTTTGCAAAGACAAAGTAATAGAGTACAAGAACCAGACGGAATATGGAGGATGCAGTGCAAGGGCCGCAGTTCGCGGACAGATGCCAGCCTACCTTTTAACGACATCCGCGCCATTCCAGCATGACATCCCGTCGCTCGAGGCCAGCTCGCTGACGCACAGCCTGTCTGCCAGGACAGCATAAAACGTACGGTAGTGTCTCAGACTGGTGACAAACTCCCTGAAGACAGAAACCAAACTGGTAAACGACTTCACCTCCGACAGACCGCGATAGCGAGACACAGTAGCTCAGCTGTAGGCATGTCTTATCCAGTGTCACATTCTCATTTTAGATTTTTATTCATTTTAAAACAAAACAGTGTCTCCCAAATTTAGTGTTTAGTTTAAGAAAATCAAGAATGGGATGTTCAGCCAAAATATCATAAATATCAAAACATCAATAATAATTGATTGGTTTTCTTTTTGCTTTGCGCTCCATGAGATGGGCTTCATGGGTCTGCAGCTATTTGCCCAGTGAAGCCCCATCAGACTCACTTCCTCTGGCTACTGAAAGTCTTTCGGGCAGCTTGTCTCGGGGCCCCGGCGGAGCTGCCCTCCTGCTGAATGCTGACCGACTCGCCCGCTGTCCTGTCGGCGTGCCCGCACACCTTGTGAACCTGCCGTGCAAGTGTGAATCTCTCATGCCATGCTCTCTGCTAAGGGAATACAACTCTGAGCAAAAGCGTTTATATGATGCTGACAAAAGTCTTCATTTTAGCGTGCCAGTGTTGAGGAGATACGAGAGCCTTTAGGAGTTAAACAAAGAGTAACTACCTACCTCGGAGTCAGACCAATCAATCATCATGTCTGAAATATGTACAGGCTGAGGGAACTCAAGTTTGACTTCAGATCGTATCATACGACTTGAACAATCGGAGCTGACGACCTCCAAATGATGAGCCTAGCGATGAGTATTATCACCTCTGCACATTTATCATGCAACTGCCAAATACCACGCTACTTAGCTCTGTCCTAAAAAACCAACAAAAGCTACAGTTTCAATGGTATCATTAACAGTTCTGCATAAGCCTGGAACGATGGCATCTGCTCTAACTGCCCCATAACAATGTTGTTTAATGGCACAGAATTAAGAACCAAAACAACCTTATAAACACATATACATTTATTTTATCGCAGATGACAATCTGAAAACAAAGCTACTGAATATATTTTATTTGGGAAGGGGGGATGCCTTTCCACGGTTATCCATGGCTTTGTAACTTGTGATAGCTCTAAGTGATTATTAGGCCAGTGCACCATTCTTCACAAGATGAATGAAAAAATCCATACTTTGCCCACAGGGTAATAAATAGCATTTCAGCCTCTACCTAAATCAAGCTAAACCACTTAAACTGGTAGAAATACTCACAGGACAATCTACTTACAGCCCTTAAGTTTTAAGTTTATATACCCTCGAGGCATCACCTTTGTCAGAATCGATTTCGGAAATTTCAAAAGGTTAAAGAAGGCATCTGAAAATCGGGGAAAAACAGTCCCCCCGGGCCTTACGAATATATGAATGCAGGACTTCAGATATGAATTATTAACCATATAAGCAAGATAATTTCATAGCGACCATTCGCTCTTCATCCCCAGTCACTGCTTTGTGATTTAAATGACTGGGGTACAATTCAGCACTACCCCTATTGAACCCTATGGAAAGGTTTGCTGCCAGTGACAAACGTTTGCCAGACCGCAGTCTGTTAAAGATGCCCACTGCGTTCCCGACACACTGCCAGCAGTTCAAACAGATCGAGGAGCACACTGGGCATCTTGCGGACTTCTGAGGCTCTGGCACTTGCCTCGCTTTGTTTGTGGTCTGCACCAGTTGGCCGGCTACAGCAGACCACATGGATGTAATTTTAGGAAATATTCTGGTCTGGCTTTTTTTTGTGTGGCATTTTCTGTCTGGAGCTGCTGCATATTTGTCTGCAACACATTCTCACTGTAGCTACAGTGAAGCGTAAATCTGAGATCCTTAACTGTGACTTGCACTGATATTTTTGGGATTGGTCTGGTATTTCTGGTACTGAGGTGGTTCAGGTTGCAGTATGTGTTTAATAGTAAGACATTAAGCTAAGAAGATGAGCAGGTTGAGCTGTAAAGAGATGCTCTTACCTGAGCTGAGAGCTTGGGCCCATTTCGTTGAGCATGCATGACTGCGTTGATGATGGGCAAATGCACTGCCAGCAGGGCCTGTTCTGGCTCCTGGGCGCCATGCAAACGACTGGATGCTTCTTCCACAGAGCGGACAAACTCCCTCCATTGGCCATCAATCTCCTCCACGCTGGCCAAGCAGCCACGCATGACATTGAGGCAGTAGCCCATGCAGGGCTTGCTCTGCGTCAGACCCTGGCAGTGTGGGCAGTAGAGCATTTTGAGTAAAGCCTGCGTGCACTGCGCACTGCACTGAAGGTGATCCGTGGTGTTGATGACCTCGATGGCCAGGTTCAGGGCCTGCAGGAAAACACGTGTGGGGAGGAGGGAGCGCCTGACTTCATCCGCAAGCTGTTTGGGGAAACTTCCGAATGGGTTCAGTGGCCGGCGGTACGAACGGATGCACTCGGCGTTGACCGAGGAGATGCCGGTCAAACCAGGGTTGATGAGGTGATTGTAGACCAGTGGGAAGAGGCCATCAAAGAAACGGTAGACGCTGACCTCCACGCCAAGCTCAGAGCCCAACATAAACAGGCCAATGTCGGTGAAAAGCTCCCTGAGGAGGCCATTGGCTTCTGGGGGGATATTCTGGTAGGTGCTGTTAAACAGCGAGTTGATGTAATACTCTGTCTGCCTGGTGAGGTTCTTTAATATTTCTGTAAGGAAACAGAAGCCCAATTAGCCAACTCAAAGCTGATGACCCCGAATATCAGAGTAACATGGCTATAGTTCTTTGCACCAATGTATTTCAACATTTTGTTGATTTAATTTTCCATACCATCTGGACATTGTATCATGCTACACAGTATTTCAATAGCATTTTCCAGTGAAACACTATTTTGCAGTATCTTGCAGATAAAATTCAGTGAACACGGCGGGGGAGAGGTGTAACACAAAGCCTACATTTACTGATTTCATTCATAATCAGTGTACCTGGAAAAGGCATGCAAAATGTAAACCAACAAATCTGTAAAATCGCAATTCACGGCCACCATCATGTTGTTTGTGTAAACGGCCTGCAAGCCTGACATCTTGTTTGGGTAGATAGCTGGCAGGAGATGTTAAGCCGTCCAGTTTCCCCCTGCTGGGAGGATACAGGGAGTGGCAGAGACCGTAAAAAGCCTTGCCAGACTGGAGATCAACCCCAAATCACAGCATAGACAGTCTGCGCAAACCTCCAGGTGGGGGTGGGTCATTTGTCCAACTTAAAAAACCAAAAAGTATTAAGGTCACACTGCCGAAACGGCATGTCATTCTTGCAGTTCAACATGGCTTCCTGTGGCTCGACAATCATGCATTAAAATCCCACTTAACGGTGGCTCACTTTCTCACTGGTACTTAGGAAGCAAGGTTTCCTAGTCTGGCTGAGAAACACGTACAATTACACAAATATCCATAAATCAATTCATTCTGCTCCATACCATTATTATTTGATCCAATGGGTCTTACAAACCTTGCAGTTTAAACTTCATCTACAAGAACAAGGCCCTTCCTGCAACCAAAACATTAACCCCATGAAACTAATTTGCGATGAAATTGATGAAAAGGTTACAGTCAAATAAGGCAGATCTTTTGTGGGCACTTTTCCACCAGTGCCAGAGTGAACATTCAGAGAAATAAATACCCAGACTCTTTAAGTAATAGAATGGCGAGAGATTTTGCGGCTGTAGGACCCCTGCTAGGATCTTAACACATGCAGGGCCAGTGCAGAGACCTAATCAGTCTGAGAGTTCTCAAACTGAGGCCATGGTCATCAAAACATCTGAGCTAAGCAAAGCACTCGGGGATTCATCCCCAAACCCCCCAGGCTCATGAAGGGTCATTCCCAGGACTCATCACAAAGGGTGAATATTCTGCTGTGTCGAACACTTGATCTGTTTTTATTACAGTGGTGGTGTTTGCCATTTTCTTTAATTCTTTGTGTAATCATTTTTCTTTTGTATGTGGCACTGCAAAACAAAACTTCCAAGTATTCAAAAATGTTACAGTATCAGTATATAAAACTTCAATACTTCATTCTCTCGGATGTTGGGTTTATTCATATAAAAATATGGGGAAAAATAGACTAAATTACACATTTTACGCACACACACACACACACACAGAAAGTTTTGACCTTTTCTATGAATGTTAAACATTTTAATTACTGCCCCCACTGTACAGAAAACCTCGCTCTACACTTTCCAGCTGCTGATTTCCACATTTACACAATGTCTGCAGTGACGTGCACAATGCCTGCAGTGACGTGCACAATGCCTGCAGTGATATGCACAATGCGTAACACGAGCCGTTCGGAACATCCTTGTACAGATCCTTCCCCCTGTTGGTACGCTGTGGTGGCCCATGGGTATCACAGCGGCTTCACACCAAAGGTCGGGGGGTAGATTCAGACTCCGGGCTGCACAGGAGCGTGTAGATTCTGCATGGGTCTCTACTCTCAGTCTGAACATGAGCAGCCTAAGTGAAAGTCCTGAGATGGACCCTGACTGCTGCCTGGTGGCGTCCTCTGAATGATCCTTCACTCCTGTTTCTCTCTCAAGCAGTTGTGGAATATCACTATTCACTGAAGCAGGACTATAATTACCCGAGTCAGTTTCTGCAGTGGAACGAAGGTTATGGGAGGTTCTTTCCGTCCACCGAGTGCCTTATTCTTGGGTCTTCACAGTGCCCTTCGATGACTGCTTCGATAACTGAGACTGCATAACTCAGACTGCTAGGCTCAGTCTTTACAGACAAACATGCTGTTCCTGCACAGCAGGCCACAACCTGTGACAGTCATTCAACACATACAGGTCCCAGACCACGATTAGTGCAGTGAAATAGCCCCACCTAGGGGTGAAGAGAAATATGCAGGGAAGCCTGCGGGGGGGATGGAGGTGCTGACCAAAGGTGAAAGGCCCAGGAAAGGTGCTGCCGTTCCCTGTTGATGAATTAATTCTGCCCCCTCCCCCCTTCTCTTAACAGAAGAAAACTAAACGACCCCCCCCCCCAAGGCACCCCTGCTGACACTGCTCTAAATGAAAAGGAACATTATTTGGATGGTATATATCACAGGACTGCGTGGGATGACAAATGATAATTAGGAGTTTCAGTCATGTCCATTTTAAATTCTTTATCTGCCTACTTAACAGCTCTCTTTTTATTTTAAAGTACTAACATTCTTCAGTCTAATGTTTCTGCAGCCATTTATCCAGCACAGAACACTCAGCAGGGGACACGCTGGATGGGACGCCAGCACATCCTGCAATTTAACTGAACAAAACCCACATTCTTCTGCGTCTACGCTATCGTATGTGCTTTCAAGAATAAATGAAGGCTATCCTGGATGTACTGCTCAAAAGCCAGAACCTGGGTTGGGCCCCAGCCCTGCCAAGGAAGTCCAGCTAGGGAAGGCAAACTGGTTTCCATTCTATTCACCTGGTTAGGTGCAGGGATGGGTAGCTGTGGTTAGTTGCTGAAGTGAGTTAGAAGTCCATTGATCAACTCGCTCCATCCCCCCCTCCCTCCCCCCCCCGCATCTATCATCAACACAAACGTTCATGTGTTCCAACACGATCTGATAAAGAGTTTCTAAATCCAGCACAACCAGCCTCCTTCACACAAACAAGCCCCTGAAGGTGTATTCCTTCCAAGTACGTTCAGTACTCATGCAGTACTCAAAGGGATGGCACCTGATGACCATCTCATTGGTGCAATGAATTGAGGAATTCAGGCAGTGTTGACCAAATTTCAAATACAATTACTGATTAATTTTAATGGACCAAATATGAAATGGATGAATGAATGGAGACAATCGTAAATGACAGTGGGAAAAACTTGCAACCGTGTGAATTTCCAAAGGGAGCGCGTGGGATCTGCGAGATGATATTCGCCACCCTGCAACATGGACACCAACAGGACAACAAACCAACACTTGGCTGAATGCATCCACAAAGGAGGACAAAAAGCCCAGCAACCATATATGTAGATATAAAATGTCTCCTCTGGCAGCAGCACTCTTTGTTCACCCTGGTAGCGCAAACACAAAACAGCCCATATTATGCACGACACTACTGCAGTTGTACAGACATGTAGGTCTGAAATGATTCACAACAAGCTGACTGTACTTATCAGTCATGATCCCTGGCAGATGAGCTATTTGTTTCTAAAAAAAAATAAATAAAAAAAAAGGATGTTTACCTGGACAATAAAATCTATTACAGTTCAGCTTGCATGCAAACATATGAAAAGAGTCTGACGATGCAAATACTTGAAGCAAAAATGTTCAGCTCACCAGCACTGAAGCAACTCATTAAAGTACAGAATTCAGCTTCACCAGCAAGCCTGGAGAATCACATATCTTAAGAAATGGGACGTACCAATATATCAGTGGAAAACCGGCCAATAAAGCCACGTCTCTAAACACCGACGAGGTGCCAAGGAGCCCCCTGACTAGAGGAAATTCAGGAGGGTGTTTCCTACATTTATGGTTTGATACCCTTGGGATTTAAATTTGCTAAACTCTTCTGAGAGTTCAACATTGTGAAAGTTCATGTTATTTAAGACTAAGTTATACAGGCGTTCTTATATGTAGCTTTTAAGATTTTTTAAGACTTTAAACTTGTCATTTGAATTTCAGAATCAGTCAGTAAAACATTGCTTAAATAGAAATATTTTTTGACCATATTAAATTATTTCAGCTGATATTAGTTATTGGAATTTTTAGCACCTTAAAATCTGTATTGGAGAGAAAAAAATCTGTAGTGGCTGAGAAAGAGAAAACAGGAAGAGATCAATTAGTCACTGTGTTCTAGATCATTCCATCAGTCATTTCTCACTTATTACAAAGCATAGAATCAATAACTTCACTGTACAGGAATTTAATGTCGCCCAAATACATCTTGTCAGGAGGGGGGCATTTTGGGAGATGAGGGGTAATTCAATTCTGGCAGGTCTCCTTTGATCTGATTTACTTTTGCTATCCAAAATAAAAGGGCAAAGAAGTGAAGCTCTGAGTTTTTGTCATTAAAATGCCTGAACAACCCCACAGGTAATATGCAAATCTTTAAAAAAAAAAAAAAATTTGTAATACATGTTAGCGTTAGGTTTGCCTCATTATGAGAATAAAACTGCAATAGACAAATACGGCCACCAGAGGTCTCATGTTACAAAATTAAAAGGCACCGCTAACAGTGACGTAGGAGCCATATCTAACTTAATCAAAATTACAAAATTTGTTTGCTTTCCATTCCAATTTTTTATGTTTAAGCAACAGAACAGGAGTCCTGATCATACACAATATTACTCACGGAAATTTCTTGGCATATTTTACCTTGGCAATCCGATTCATCCATACAGCTAAAACTGAAAAAACAATTGAATAAGAATTTAGAATAAAACTGGCTTGATCTAAAATTTTTTACATATACAATGTTATTAATTAACTCCATCAATAACATGACCTCAAGTTTGAATCAAGCAAAACTGAAATGACTTTGGCCAGCAAGGTAGAGAAATTCACACAGACTGCAACTCAAGTGACGAACGGCAAAACAGCAAAAACAAGCACGTGACACGATATTACACCTTAGTGCTTCTGCAGGCTGCACATGAAACAGACTTGCACTTGAGGTCAATCGGGAGCAGAAAGAGTAAAAACTGGGACACTTGTGGTGGG